GTTCTCGACGATGAGGACTTCCTCGGGCCTCACCATCTTCTCAATCATGACTGTTCGGAGGTTGGACAAAATCTCGGTGTACTTGTTCTTCCGTAGAGGGTAGTTGGCCAACTCGCGACCGCCGTTGCCGGGAATGCCCATGTTGAGGAGAGGGTTCATGTCCGTTATGGGAAGCGCCTGCATCTCATCGTAGAGCTCCGAGACGAGCTTGGTCCAGTACTCCAGGCAGATCTTGAAAACCTCGCGGTCGTCGATCTGGCTTATGCGAATAAGGTAAAAATGACCATGCGTAAGGAAGTCCCTGTTCATTAGGTTTTCGATGACATTCAGGTGCATGGTGAAGAAGTTTGTCAGGAAAAGCGCCAGATTCAGAACGAACTCCTGGTCCCGACCATTGCTCGAAGAGTATGTGCTCTTCAGGTCCAGCGAAAGAGGTATGATCTTCGAGATGGCCGTCAATGTCTCGGTGAACATGGAAACGAGCTTATCATCGTACGCGGGTTCTGTGTGTAGACCGGCGATTTCAGTCAAGCACTTCAGGGTGATGTTGCGGAAATCGGGGACTTCGAGGAATCGGCTTCGCAGGGTCTCGATCAGGCTCTGGCCGCTTGGAGGTGTCTCGAAGATGTAGCCGAGAGGGATCCAGTTGAGGAAGCGCAATAAGGTTTCGAGTGTCGCCTTGATCAGAGACGCCTCGGTAGCTGTCCGCAGAACCTCTGAGCAAAGCTGGTAGATGGCCGTGAACTCGTCGCACATGCTCTGCTTCAGTTCCTTTCGCTTGACCGAAGTCATCTGCTCCTCCGAGTAGTCAAAGACTTCCTCGGACAAAAGTCGCAGGATGACCATGTTGTTCTCGCATATTCCTAAGCTGCTGTGGCAGGACGATATGATCTCGTTGATGAAGGTCGGCCAGTTGTGGGGCCACTCCTGCTTCAGGACGGAGACGAGGACGAGGTTGAGCTTGTTTAGGAGGGTGCGCTCGTTGCGGAGGCTTTCGTCGTTGTTGGACAGCGAGATGATCAAGTTGACGATGAAGTTTCGGATACCTGACTGGGTTAGCAGCGCTCGGAAGACAGAGTGTTCTGTAGCATACCCTGACACTGGTCTCGAGGCAGCACCTTCCATCTAGTCATGATGACATTGTCGAGAACTTGGAGTCCGAGATCTGCCGACTGTTAGCAACGAGGACCACCAACCTTGTAGCACGTCGCTGCACTCACACTTCGTCTGCGGGTACTGCGCATCGGATAGGATCTTGTCAACAAGAAGCCATGCGTCGGGGTTCTCTTTGAACTATGCGAGGGTTAGCGGGACACGCCTGCAGCGATGGTGAGTGCAGAGGCCTACCTGGTTCAGCGTAGCCTGAGCTTGCTTTTGCTGCAGTGGGCGACATGTTAGCCGTGATCTCATGGGACGCCTTGGTCGGGGTCGCATAGATACGTACTTGCTCACCGCGGCCCTCGTAGAAGGCGCGCACTGTGGCGTCGAGCTCTTCAATTGACAGAGACATGGCGGGCTGCAGCGCGGCGGGAAAAGCTCCCAATCAGCCTTGTGATATCGTCTATGTCCCCAAGAAGCTCAAGCGTGGGCTCAGCTTCTTGCAGCGGTTGCGTATGGGCGCGTGGGGCGTGGGCGGAGGGCGGGCGCGCAAAGGTTCGCTGCCTTGCAGAAGTTGTGTACAGACAAAGGTGGGGCACTTGGGCGGCAGAGAGATTGTGCGGGCACGCTTGCCAAGCTGCTGCTGAGGCTACTGGTAGTCGGGCGTTGCTAGACCTGGATCGGGTCCGTCTTCCTGGCTGCTCGCAGTGGTGGGGGTGGGAGGCGCTGACGTTGTTGCAGAGGCACGGGTTTCGCGGTGAAGTCGCGTTTGTCAACTGGAACTACCCGTGCCGAGAGGCAAGCACTAGTGCTCAGGGCTCCACACGCGATCGACTGATACCCTGCATCCTTCCTCCTCACATCGACACTTCCGCCGCATTGTCGATGCATGCAGATGCCTTGATGCAGCTATCTTGACACCGTCACTATATTTGACTTTGTATATCCGGCTCACTGAGAATGTCACCATGGCGACCAAGACTACCCACTCTGCGATAACAGCACCATTTACACCCGAACAAAGCAGTCTCTGAAGATGTTATACGGCTTCACACAACTTGATGTTTTCATTATCATCAAGACACACATCTGTCATGATTCGATCGAGCGACCAAGTGGCCGATGGTGTTCTCAATCAGACTATTGGACAGCTTGGTCACAGCTGGACGCCTTACCAGGCAGCCCGTCGGATATATGCGAGACATCTGATGGCTTGCATCTGCGCCAGATGCAACCTTACGTCGACGCAAGATGTTGAGAGGCCTGTACTAAATACACCAGAATGCAGTATTAAGCCAGAGACAATGGAGTGATCCATCAAGGGGCTCCTTGCATGATGCGTGCCTTGCCGCCTGTTCGCTACAAAGCTGCCTGTCGTTTCGCAGCAGGTTCGCTTGTGGCACAGCATATCATTGACAGGTTTTGTTCGGCTACTTCTTCAAACTGTAATTCACATTTCGTCGGCAATGCAGACCTAAGAAAGGGTCGAGAGCCATGAATTCACACCAAAATATTGCTGACCACCGTAAGTCGAACCGGATTCGCGTCGCTGAGCATGACCTAACCTCAGCATCACCTGGGCAGCTTACCACAGCATCCAAGTCCCCAACGATGCTCCTTTCAAACTCGGTGTCTCACCTGGGAAAGGATGGGGTGTATCTGCCACGCGAAAGATCCTCAAAGGAGAAAAGATCCTACAAGAAAGGCCTCTCTTCGTCATCCGGAAGCCCCATTCGATGATCGAGGAAAGAGATGTGTTTGCCGCCTACTGCGCACTATCGAAGAAAGAGAAAGCCCAGTTCCTCAGTGTTCGAGACAATGGCGACGGCATCTTTCCAACCATGGAGAGGGCATTTGCAGAGAACTCGTTCACTATCCCCGCACAGCCTGGCAAGGCGCATGGCTTCTTCTTACTGCATTCCGGATTCAACCATTCTTGCCTTCCCAACTGCAAGATCCCGGATGACGTTCAGCCTGACGACTGCATAATCAGCTACGCCACCTGTGATATCGAACCCGGCGCAGAGATACTCTTTTGTTACGAATCAGACTTTGGTTGCAGGACCAGGAACGACCGTCACCGTATACTACGCTTTGAGTGTACCTGCCGAGCTTGTGACAAAACTTCACACTTCCATGTTGTAAGCGATATGCGGCGTCTCCTCATGAGAGGTCTCAACTACCTCAATTCCGGTTCCGATATAGATGATCCACTTCATGGCTCTAGGACTAGACCGATCATTGCCGATGCTGGTTTGAGAAAGGCAGCGGAAACATACAGTATCTCGTTGTCTTCCAGGTTCATATACAACGTGCTCATGATGGCGCTATCTGAACAGGAGGGCCTGTTAGATGAGTTCCTCGAAAAACGTATGTTGCCAGGTATTGCGCAAGTGGTTCAGTCATTTCGCACTGAGAGTAACAGAGAAACGGTCTTGATGGCTTTAAAGCAGAATAATTGGACTGAAAGATTCGTTATCTCGTCGTACACATGGATGTTGCGGGATTCTGCGGACACTGCCGTTGCAGAGCAGTATCGTTTGCTAGCTAGTGGTGTCCGAAGATGATTATTGAGTATGCGGGATCATCTGATTGCCCAGATGAAGATATAGCCTCTGAGCTTACAAGCGACTTCACTCCTTGATCCTCCCATCCTTGACCATCTCCCGAATAGCATCAATACTACTCTCGACCGCTTTCTTTGCCATCTGTCACCTGCTTAGCAACTGATCTGACTCATGCAAATCTATGTACCTACACCCTTAAACTTCTGAATCTCCTTCTCCGCCTCCGGAGTCCCCTCCTGCACATGCGGCACAACAAACTCAAACATGTACGTCATGTTCAAGTCCTCGATCTCCCCTGACGGGCCATCGGAGACGATATTGCGGATGTGCGTCCCATCCTCCTGCTCAAAATCGACCTTTGAATGCCGTCAGTCAAAATCCCGACTCTCCTCTAAACAATCCGTACTTACCCAACTCGGCCAGTAGCTCCTGACAACCTCCTTGGCCTGGTCCTTGGGCCCCATTCCCTTCTTGAATTTGACATCCCGGGTTACCACACCATCTTTTTCTTCCAGTACGTCGCAGGTTTCAATCACGGGGACGAATTCTTGGGCGAAACGTATCTTGCGCTGTAGGCCGGCCCAGATTTGTGCTTGGTTGAGGACCGGTGTTGCGCCGGCGGGATTGATACGCGAGGTGTAAGCTATGTTGAAGTTCACCATGTTTGCGGTCGTTCTTCAGGGTGAGGGATGGCTATGTGGTGCGATCGTTGGGTTGTGAAAGTTGGTGGTTCGCGTGTTACAGGCGGGGTGTAAGACGAGTGTCTGACGTCAACCGGGGATGATTGATGAAGGTCGAGAATATACAAATTGCATGTTGGAAGTGGCTCTCTATGCTTTATCTATATTCTCTGCTAAGAAATCATTGGAGCAACTGACATGCCGAACGGTATCCAAGGCTTTGGTAAGCACCTAATGTTCGGCTCCCCCCAGGGCCGAGCTACGTAGAGCCGCTTATGCAAGGTACTCTTTGGAAAAGTGCGAGAAGCCGAACATGATCTGATAGACCACAGTTTTAGTACTCAGCATAACTTATGTGCACGGTAGTGAGCGACGCTGGCAGTACCTAGTCAATGTCTGCTTTGCTGTCAGTTGTGATGAAATCTTAGTCCGTCGCAAGGATTTCTTCTTCAATACATCACTCATTTTGGCAGCAGGTAATTAGAGTGGTTCAAGTCTCCAAGTCCATCAAACGTGGCGGGGCATGATCTGTCATTGAGGTATCATTTCACCAGCCTTTCGCTCTAGATATCCATAGTAGCTACTCAGCACAACCCGCCGGAACGCCATGCTTTTGATATGCACATCATCCTTCCCCCTTGTTCGCGGGATTCCTCTAAGCATCCTCAACAATCTGGGTGTGGAGACCCTTGGGGTCCTTAACGTTGACGGCCTGGACGTAGGAGTAGAGCTTCTCCTTGGCGCCCTCTTCGTCGTTACGCTTACGGGAGATGCGGACACGGAGACGGAAAGGAACGCCCTTGATACCGGACTCCCAGACCTTCTTGTTGAGCTGGGGGTCTAGGCGGACGTCGTTGGTGCCCTACATCGAGACAATTAGCCTGAGTTTGTATATTTGACGACACCATGACAACACACGCACGTAGCGCGCGTGCCATGGGCCGGAGTTTTTCCATAGCACATACCATAGCCTGCTTAGCGAAAGCGCGGATCTCCTTGACAGCCTTGGGGGCCCTCTTCTTGAAGCTGACGCCGTGAACCTATACCCAATGTATTAGCCTTATGTTCTCTTCAGTCTTCCGCCCAATGCCTGCGTGACCAAAGGTAGGTGCTCAAGCCAGTGTGATCGGCCTGGTCGAGCACCCACCCAAGGTTCCGCGAGACCATCTGTGGACTTCACAAAACTGAATCAACATACGCGCTTGTGGAGGTGGATGGTGTATTCGCGGGCGACGACATCGGCGATGGCGCTGCGGCCGGTCTTTCCGGCAGACTTCTTGCCGGCGGACTTGGTGGTTGGGGCCATTTCTGGAGGGAGAATGTGTTAGCAAATGCTCATTACTGCAATCAGCTGGGATTGCGATTCGCGACTATTGCGCAAATCGGCTGATTTGAACACAGACTGGGAGCGCAATACATACTGACAGAGGTTCTCGCTGCGGGGGTTAGTCGACGATGAGGATGCGAGTTTGAGGCTTGGAGGTCGAAAAGTCACGATATTCGAAAATCGGATGCCACCAGTGTGCCCGCTTACTTAGCGCGTCGCGCACGGACCATGGCGCACGTGAGTCGAGGCTTGTGCAAGCCCTGGAGCAACTGGAACACCATGATGCGTTTGGCTCAATAACAAAGTGTTTCTATTTGGGTATCTGTTGCTTTATAAAATGGCTTTTCGTGAATTTTTAGGTTGTTATCCAGGCCCTCACCAAAGCAATATTCGTAGAACATCCTTTTACCTTCCCAGAACGCCCGCTCCGCAAACTCCTTACACATGACCTGGCAGGTCGAATTCCTTACCACGCTTTTTGGTAACATCAAGATCATCCTCATCCTCGTCTTCGTCTTCATGATGTTCGCTTTCATCGCTGCTACTCTCCTCTTCTTCGTCGTCCTCATCGTCTTCATCGCCGGCAACGAAGCGATTCAGCCGCCCACCATCTTCACCCCAGAACTGCAACCCTTCGGGATCACGATCTTGTGAGAGGTCCAATGTCGGGATTTCCTCGAACAAAGCCGGATTCAAATCGTTCCTGAAGCGCACGAGCGACTGCGTGAACCGCTCCAGAACGTACTGCGGGAGTGACGGTTCCTTAACCGTGGTACCGTCTGTCGCGGGACGTTCGGCGCGGTCGTCGTTGCTGAGATCGATGAAGGGCACATCTTCAGCTCGAATATCTCCCGTCGGGTTGAGATAAGCATCGAAGGATTGGCGCACGCGTTCAAGCATTTGCTGTGCAGCATCAGGCATTTGAGGCATCTGAGGCATTTGTGGAAATTGCGGTATCTGTGGGAAGTTTGGCAGCGGTGGGAACTGCGGTAGAGATGGAAATTGTGGCATCTGAGGCATCTGCGGCATGCGCGGTCTGCCAGGAAACTGCGGCATCTGGAAAGGGAAAGAGGGCAGCTGACCTGGTAGCCATGTCTCTTCAGGCTCATCTGGTTGGAAATAGTACCGAGGCGAACGAAGTGGTGCTTGGGAGGAGGGCGAGCTGACGCTCACAGGCGATCTCGAGCCCGAATCAAGGTCGGCGTCTAGTATCGCATTGGCAGCTTCTTCACTCTCTGGCCCGTTCAGAATGCGGAGCTCATTGGTGTTGTAAGAGTCGCATGTACCGCATTGGTTGCCAAGCCAGTGATATTTGACAGAAGACTTTGCTGAACAGTCGTTGCACTGGACAACTGCCCGTGTGTTTGCGAACTGCTCTGGCATGGGCTGACCCTCGATTGCTTGAGTCAACTTCTGCCACTGCAGATCCATACACACAGCACTCTTTTTGCAAATTGGGCATTTGTACGCAGTCTGCATGTAGAGGTTGTAGCATCCTTTGTGGAGATAGTGGCCGCAAGGCATTGACACGACAGCAGTAGACGAAGTGAAGAGATGGTCGCCGCAGATTGGACAGTCGCCCTCGGTAGCACGCGGGAGACACTTGTGCGAGGTCGCGTGAGAGATTGATATGCAAACATTGCAACTCTGCACACAATCAGTCTAGTCCAAAGTGCGTCTAAAGCAGGACGTACCTTGCAGTGATAGAAGTCTTTGCCCAGACCTTCTCCTCGCCGGCAGATGCCACAGTCTGGGCAGTGGTAGATCTTCTTCTTGCTGTTGTTGTCCCAGAGCTTACAAATGTCACAATAGTAGCATGCGGCTTCTGTCTCACAGTTCTTGCACACCTCGGCTGCTGGTTGAGGCGTACCGCATGCCATACACAGCATGTTCTGTGTCAGCTTCCTGTTCAGGTTATGGTCCTCGACTGCATCGTGGCAGTGTCGACACGTGTACCAGCGGCGGCATTCGAAGCATTGCACTTTGACATTGCGCTTGTAATGCTGGCAGCCGAGCACCAGCTCCCCTTCGGCGCTGTCCTCCTCGTCGTCTTCGCCGTGCTCTGCGCCGTGGTCGTGATGGGGCCGATACGTGGGGTTCGTGTCGCCCTCGCGGAGATTGTACGAGATCTCGGGGGTCACGTCGGTGGTGGACGAGTAGGGCGATGACGCGTGGACGTCGGAGAAGAGGGACTGGCCGGAGGTTGGGGTAAAGGGGCGGTCGTGTGAGATGAAGCTCGCGGGGGACGTCGGGCGCATGTGGTTGTACTTCTCCGTCATGAGGTTGTGGATCATGCGGGCGCGCTCCTGGTCGGAGATGCTCAGGGCGCGGATCTCGTGGATGCGCTCGCGGAGATGGGCCATGCCATCGTCAGCGGGGAGCAGCTCAGCCATGGCGCTGGCATGCTGGCTGGGGGTGCTGGCGGGACGGAGCGACGAGGGCGACGGCGCAGTCGTGGTCGAGCGTGACGAGTCGACCTCGAGGTGACGGAACTGATCAGCGAGGGTGCGGGATGGATTCGCGGACATGTCGACTGGGGTGTCTATTGGCAGATCGTCATGGCTCTGCTCCTCGTCAACAACTGCGCTGCGAGGCCGCTGCGAGAACGACGAGTAACGTCGGAACCCGTCGCCCAGCGCTGTGGGCCGGCCGTGAGGTGCTTCGGTGCCGTTTCTTTCACGTGCGCTCACGGAGCCCGCGTCCGTTTCGTGCTCCCGCCGTGGCACTGCCGCAGACGCAGAGTCGTGATTGTCACATGCCAGAGACCGAGCTCCGTCATGGCTCGCCTCGCCAACGCCTGAGAAGCGGCGTGCATGGCGCACAACGGGCTCGATAATAAAGGACGAGAAGAGACTCATTGTGTCATGGTGCTCATTAGGGAGGTGTGGGAGAGGAGAGGCGTCGTCTCAGGACGCGCAGAGGCCCTCAGGCGCTGCTCGCACTGTGCTTCTCTTGACCACGTTTCTGTGGCTCAGTTCGGGTCATGCTCTCGAAACGCCACACTTGCCACGAGAGAACCTTGGAAAGCCTGCTGCCTGTCTATTTTCGGGCCTGCCTCACTCCGGTCCGAATACGCAGTACGCTCGTTATCGCTTTTCGTCTGGTCTTGCGAACTCGACATGGCCGATCCCGCACCCGCAAGCATTTCCGAAATAGGCCCACAGCAAGATACTCTTAATCGCGGCCACAGACACGATCGCACTGTTATCACGATCACATCCGAGGCCCACACTGGATCCCTTCGCCGTCACAGTCCCACAGGGCGTGGTGCGGCGGATCCCCCTAGCCCCGTTACCTACACGCTATCGTCAGCGTCCTCAGTCCACCCGGAAGAGCTGGAAGGCATCGTACCTGAATACGCCAAACTCAAAATCACACCACGCAGAGGTCAAGGCAGCCCGTGTCAACGGACATCTCGACTTGATGTATGGTTTGTTTTTGTGCGGGAACGTTTTCACCGCACGGCAATGCATCCGTGGTCAACCCTCCACGCGACAAGCCCTTCTCACGTCCGACCTCACAAGCGTTGGTGTCGTAAGGCCACCGACTCACTAAGCTGATGTACCATATACCAGAAAGATTCCACTTCATGTCTCCCAATTGAGCAGGTTCTGAGATTATCCGTCGATCATAGCAGAAATCCATGGAAATTACAGAGGACGGTTTGGCGTTCCGGTGCCTTGTGAGCCACGCATGACGGCCGCCACAGTGGCAATCCGCATCCTTCGACACCTGGGCCGCTCCACCTACTCCTATACCGTCTCTGTACTACACACCATCTGTCGTGGCGACTTCCTGACAAGGCAGTTTAGATGAAAAACTATGGATTGCGGCGGACTTTTCGCGGTCGCTAAAAGGACCGATGCCATCCATCGCCCTCTACCACCCGCGGCACCACGATACAAAGATATACTTCGCCCGTTCACGCCTGACTCAACTTAAAGAGTTTTCAGTCGCGCATGCACGAACACGCCGTATAGAGCAAGTTTTGAAGAAAACATTGATTACTGCTGCGAAACCTGGGTGTAGAGACGAGCCATTGCAGCCTCGATGTCAACAATTCCACGGTACGACAGCGGCATGACGCATCTCGCAGTCATGTCGCCGACCTGCCTCTCATGGAACGGTACTTCACGATACTACCATAATGAGCAGATTCCAGAGTATCCATTGATTGCAGTCGCCATATCGTGGGTGGGTGAATAGACGGCGTGAGGTGTTGACATGTCTTGTTGTTCACGCTAGACATCCACACCAGACAAGCTTCCGCAATAATACCCTGGATCGTCCCGCCAGCCCCTGAGATACCCGCAAAAGGCAATACTGTCGCATTCTGTCGAAAGCTGTATGCGATCCACGGTTGAGTTCGTTTCGAGGCGTCTTCTTCCCGTCCGTTACCCGTGGGTCACATCGCCAGGTCAGGCAAAATACTGGGGTGCGTTGATTGCAGTCAATATTTCCTGGATGACTATGAGGGGCGGTGCCAACAGCTATGACTCCTCTAGAGCACCAAATTTCCACATTGCTATAAACAGCGCTGCCAGAAAGGGTATCTCAGCGTAAAGTGTTGAAGACAGCAACACTTTCACGGTTCGCAGTTGAGACTAGATGTACGCTATCGAAGTTTCCATCCACCCCTTAATCTCCTCTCTAGATAATTTCGGCATTGTCTCCGTTCGCGACATGAGAGTAGTTCTCTGGCATTACTTCCACTTGGGGCCCGGCATTATTATCCACTGCTCTCAAGGTCACATATTCCTATAGTAAGTCTAGTACGTCCGCTTTCGCCATTTTCTTGGTTCCACTTCGCTGTCTCTTTCCGATACTCTGTCTGTATCAGCAAATGTGCAAATTCCTTATGACAGTCTTACCTATGCAGTCCTTCGTACATCCCTTCAGTATTGGGAGGATTTGAACAAGCGCTATGACCTGGCCAAATCCCCAGGTGTCTTCGGATTCGCCCTGGAGATACATGCGATTTCCAGACCGAATCGCCCATACCATGTACAAATGAAGCAAGAATTGAAACAGGGGAACAAGCACCAATCCCAGTTCTGTGTATAAGTTGTAGAGATCGAGAATTGAAGGCGAAGGCATTCTTGAAGATATCCTCGTGATCTCGGTTCTTATCAAGACTGGGAAGCGGCGGATGCACTTGGCGAAGAAAGCTCCGATCGCACTATTGACCTTCGTCTCGTACAAAGCCATGACGCCAATAAATGCGTTGTACACCTCTCGAATGGGGAGAGGCAATAATGTGCTAGCCAAAAGCGTGGTTCTATGCGACTCTAGGAGGCTTGCATATAGTAAGCTGAACATGTACAAGCAGGTGATGCTAAGGTATATATGGTCGGCTTCGGGATGTGGTTGGAGTGAACTTGTGATACCCCGGTCGCGGTAGCAAAAGCCAAATTCATTGACGTCCCATCTCTTTAGGGCTATACCGAAAAGGACCGCAAAGACCAGATAGAGTATGCAAAAGACGGTGATCCACAGCGCATTGGATACAAGAAACTTCATCCAGGGTAAACGCCTTATCTGTGGAGGTTCTCGTCGGGTATTGTTCCGATGCCTATCGCCGCCGTTCTGCGCTTGTATCTTTCGAGAAAGCCAGAAGACAAATATCGAGGCTGTAAATGACACGCTGCCCACATTCAGTGTGAGAGAAGTACGGGGTGACGTTCACTTACGCTGTAAAATTTACAGTGTCGTAAACTACATGAAGATGATATAGGCTTAGGCTGTTCCTCTGAACTATTGCAGCAATGAGGAGCGCGATTCCTGCTCAGATTATCAATTGCGCAACTACATCAGCAGTTACGGGTAATTTATTACCGTTGAATAGCTGAACTTCGCTAATTGACCCAAGAACCTTCTCCGTAAGTTCAAGTCTCCGCAAACGGAAGAACTGCATTCGTTTCCTTTTCCGGTCATTTCCAGACATCAGATTGTTTGAGGCGTCATAATGCTTCCATCTTGCTTGCAGAGTTGCGCAGTAGCCTATGCCTGCAAACACCAAAGACAGACCCGCTAGAATTGCAAAGGCTAGAATGATCTCAAAAGAGTAAGAACAAGCGTCATGTTCGTCGAATACGAACTCACCCCAACACCAGCGATATCAGGGATGGCGTTTCCAATGTTCTCACTTTTGCACTCCATAGCTAACAAGGCTGAGACACGATGTGGAGGGTTCAAGAGCAATGTTGCGAAACTACCAGTGGAACATGCTGGCCTTATAAGCATGCCAAATGCAGAGAAGGCTCTGGGGTTCAGCTTTGGGGGCCGAGGCGGCAGGACGTGATTGGCAAGAAAGACAAGGAGGGGAACAATCAGCCTCAGCCTGCTGCCGAAAGCTGAATAGCGATCCAGTCTTCGCAGTCAGCGACGCAGGCGCTCGGAGAACAAAACGCTCGAGTACTCGTTTATCATTCATCAATCATTAAATACATCAATCACCCTCTACCAAACAACAGCCCTCCTCCTTCTCGTCGTCGCAGTACCCTGCCTCACCGCACTCTCTCCCTTCAAGTCGCTCACACACTTCAAGTTGTTCGGTCTCGCGGTATCCCTAGCACTGTATGTCCATTTACCTGGACTTCCGTTCACCGCTACCATAGTCCGCTTTGTGGTACCGTTGAGAAGCAGTGTCATGACCTTGTTATCTCCGTTCTTCACATTCGAGGTACATGTCGCAGTGATGCTGCCCGATTGCTTAGACTCCCAGGTGTATGTGTCCAGGGTGACGGTGTCGGCCAAAGTGGGGTTGATCTTGACAGTGACGGTTGCTTTGCTGGTCTTTGTGGCGTCGGTCTTGGAGGTTACGGTGAGTTCGAAGGTAAAGGATGTCTCGGTTGTTACTTTGGGTGCGAGGAATGTGGCGCTGGGGCTATTGGCGTTGGTGATGCTAACGGTGGCCGAGGAAGGCGAGGTCTTCGTCCAGCTGAAGTTCAGATCAGTGTCTTTGAGACCCTCGGCGGTGTTGGAACCCAAGAGTGTTACACTGGTGCCGACGCGCAGAGCAGACGCAAAGCTTGCGACAGAGGCGATTGGGGCAGTCTGTGGTGTAGCTGGCTCATCGGGGTTGGGGTTGGGCGAAGGGGTAGCTGAGGGAGTAGCCGAAGGGGTTGCGTTAGGGTCTGGGATGTCTGCGGGACTGCAGATCTTGGATGGCGATGGCGGGCTGGGACCTGGGAACGGTGACAGAGGTCCGTACTGTTTGCCATCAAGGAAGTCACCCTGAACCAATCCCCGGATATCGTTGAATGGGTAGGCCGGCGGGTTGGTTCCAGGCACATCGACCTCAGGGAAGATCCATTCGCTAACAGCTGCAATGAACTGACCAGCCTTGATACCATCCTTAGTCTCCTTGACTGGTGTGTTGGTCGTGATGCGGTACTCGCGGGTGAAGGGAGCTTGAGCTGGCGAAGCAATGCGAGCCTCCCATTTGCAGCGAGTCTCCTGCTTTGGGGTTGCTGTACCGATGGGGCGATATGTCTCTTTGCCCGTGCAAGGGTCGACGTCAATAGCACTGATGGTGACCGTAGCGCCGGAGCAGCTGGACAGGAAACCGATCACGCGGATATCGGCAAACTCCACATTTGGTGAGTTGTCAGGAACGCCAATGAGAAAGTCCTCAACGCGAATGTAGTTGGGTACACTCTCGCTAGCTTGTGTCGTGATGTGCAAGCTGATGCACACGATCGACGAAGCGAGGATTTCATTGCCACCAACCTTGAGACCAGAGTACTCAATGAAGTCGCCGACCTTGAATGGAACCATGCTGAGTGGATCTTGGGGCGTGAACGACTGACTGTTAGGCCGATTCGAGCTTGAACACTTGGCGGTGTTTCCAGAGTAT